CTCATCCTCTGTCATTCCCTTCTCCTCCTGCCCCCAATCCCTCCCAGCATCAGGGTCTTTTCCAAGGAGTCAACTCTTCGCATGAGGTGGCCAAAGTATTGGAATTTCAGCTTCAGCGTCAGTGCTTCCAGTGAACACCTAGGACTGATCTCCTTTAGGATGGACTGGTTGGATCTCCTTGCATACAACATAACATCAGGGTATGAGAAGGGCTAAGCAGAGCTACATATCTGGGCGAGGGGACTGAGTGTGATAAATGTTGTGGAAGCCTTCTTTGAGCAATTGATGTTTCAGCAAAGATCTAAGTGAAGTGAACAAACCACCCAAACATGCTAGGGAAGAGCTGCCCAGGCAGAGGAAGAGCAACTGCAGAGATTCTGTGATGCGATTGTTTGGGTGTCAGGGGCAGCCAGTTCACACGCCTTCCTCATTCCAAGTCCTGCCCTCCTTCTAAGAGATTGCACCAAGTAGTGCTCCTCCCATCACACTGCATGCCCGACACCCAGACCTCTGGGCTGAATAACTGCCTCCATTCTGCTTTGCTTTAGCAACTCACTACCCTGGAACTTTGCTTTACGTCTGAAATCCTAAACTCTAATATGCCATTTGACCTGTCTCCCAGCTGTTAGCTCTCACATCCCCTTTCTCTCACTCCCCCACTTTCTTCTCCCTGAAGACTCCTAATTCCTAATTCAAGTGGCCAAAAAGTTCATTCGGATTTTTTCTATAAGCTGGAACAAAAACTCAAACAAATTTCTTGGCCACCCCAATAGTAACCTTCTCCATGGCTGTTTTAAGGACTATGAGCTAATGCACACACAGGAAAGTAACAAGCCATAGGGTAAGCATTTGATAAATATGATCAATTTTCATGTGATTACCATAATTCTCTCTCTGCTCTCCCTGTGATGATTGGAACCTCTGTGACTTACATGCTCCTTCTTTGAAACTTCCCTGGAAATTTTAGTCTCTGGATCAACATAATCATCTACTATCTCTGTTTTTATTCTTGAGCAGCTGAGGCCTCCTGACAAAAAACTACTTGACCACAAAGACTGATGTTGCTATGTAGACTGAGAGCTTCTGGATTCTGCTTGGTCTATCACCCAGCTTGAAAAGCCCTTTACATGAATCTGGTTGGTTATCTCATTCATTTCCCCATTAGCTATTCTGAACCCTCATCATTCTTTTCAGCTCCCCAAGGTGCTGACCCTTTCACCCTTGCTTGACAGTTTTCACACGATCTTCCTAAGCACAGCTAAAATGTAATTATATTCTCACATCCTTCTCTTCACACTCCTAGGCAAAGGTCTTCTACTTTCTGCCTTAGACGAATTACCTACCTATGCTCTGGATAACTTGCCTTCTCATCCCTTTGGAAACTCGTAGCTACCAATTATCTCTTTTTTCTCTCACTTATTTTGGGCCCCAAACATGCTCAAATCTCTCCAATCTTAACAAAACAAAATAACACCCATCTGAACCTGGAATCCCTTCTATCTCCTTTCATCTACAGCTAAATGTCTTCTTCTTCTTCTTTTTTTAATCTATTTTTTACTTTTTCGCTGCACTGCATGACATGTGGGATCTCAGGCCCCCGACCAGGACTGAACCCATGCCCTCTGCAATGCAAGTGTAGATTCTTAACCACTGGACTGACAGGGAAGTAGTGAAGTGAAAGTCGCTCAGTCGTGTCTGACTCTTTGCGACCCCATGGACTATACAAGTCTCCAGGCCAGAATCCTGGAGTGGGTTGCCGTTCCCTTCTCCAGAAGATCTTCCCAACCCAGGGATCAAACCCAGCTCTCCTGCATTTCAGGAAGATTCTTTACAAAGCTGAGCAACAACAATAAAAAAAGCTGAGCCACAAGGGAAGCCCAGTCCCTTCAGCTAAATCCCTTGATGTTGCCAAATGTCCCCTGGGGCAAAACTGATCTTGATTGAGAACCACTGATTAGAAGATAAGACAGTATAAACTCAAGCACAAAGTATGTAACTAAATGCTGTAGAAGTTCTCAAAAGATGAGCCCACAACGGCCTCCTGTCCTTTTCATCTATTTACTGCATTTGTCCGGCCAATCGGTCTTCCAAAACCCACTTTCTTGGCAGACAACAAGCATAGCTCGTCTGTATTTCCCTACCCTTTCTTTCCTCACCCCTCAGCTCCCTGCAATCTGACTTCTGTCCCCTAATTCCTTGAAACTTCTCTGCCATGACTTTCTTCCTACTTGCCGAACCCAGTGGACACTTTCTTTCTTGCCTCTGTTGCTTGAACTCTCCATAGCCTTTTTATGCTACCGACCATGACTTTTGCCTTGAAACTCTTGCTTTGGTTTCCAAAATGCCAGCATTTTGGTTCTCCTCTTACTTCTCCTATATCATTTTCATCACCTCCTTCACTAGCATCCTTGCCCTTTAAATCTCAGTATTCCTCAGACAGAATTCCCACCTCAGTCCCCTTCTTATCACTGCTCTTTCCTTAGTGTTGTCCTTTATTCCAATGACTTTAACCATCGCCACTGTTTTGGTCACTCCTTTGTTCTGTTCTTTAGCACAGACCCCAATCCTAGGCTCTGGGAGGTATAGCCTGCAGTCTCTGGGCACTTCCTTCTGCATCCCAGTGGCAAAACACTTCTAGCAAGTCTGTTCTTATCTTTCTGCAGTTCTTTCTCATGTCTAACTGGCTACAAGGTCCTTGAATATGTCAAGCCTTTCAATTATTTCTTTCAATGATCTGAACATAGCACAGTGCCTGGCACTTAGTAACTGGTTTATGCTGTCTTTTGAGTAACTAATGGATGGGCTTGTTCTCTTTCCACCACTAGGATGAGTAGGATTTGCCTACTCATGTTTAAAATAGAACTCTCTTTGTAATCCCCAAACTTCTATGCTTCAAGTCTTCTCAGTTTAAAAAAATCATTATCTACTCAACCGTTCACCCTCATAACTCAGAATCATTAGGATCTTCCCTTTTCCTCATCTTCCATATCTGATCCATAAGGAAGTTATGCAAGCTCTGCTTCAAGCCACATCCTAAATTCTACTCTCTATCACCATATCTAGCACTACTACCTGGGATGCTGTCCAAGCCACCATCATTCCTTACCTGTTCAATGACTAAACCTTTTGTTTGTTCTGATTTTGCTACTGTCCCCGCTGTACTTCATAAAGATCTCTCCAAAACATCCATCAGGTTATCTCACTCCCCTCCATAAAATGCTCCACAACTTTATTACACTTGGAATATAATCTAAAAGTTTACCAGGGCACTACATCATTACTTGGCCCCTTCCAACCTCTCCTACCCCACCTCCAAAACCAAATCTGATTCCTATCCCCAACTCCCTTATATGCTCCAGCATGAGCCTTGTTTTTTTTCTTTTGCTATTGCTCCTATCCACCAAGGTTATTATTCTGGCTCAGGTTTTTACACTGGCTGCTCCTTCTGCCTGCAATGTTCTTGTTGCTCCTTCTCAATCTTTAAATATCTGCTCAGATGTCTCTTCCTTAAGAGAGTCACCCTATGAAAATAAACCCCCTACAGTCATTCTCTAACTCCCATTCTGCTTTATTTCCCTCAGAGTATGACTGCCAACTAAACTTATTTAAAAAAAAATAAACTTCTGTACTGCTGTTTGCCTTTCCCATCTGCTGCTGCATCTCTGTTGTATAGTAGAATAACTGGTCTATGATAACCATTCAGGAAATATTTGTTGGCATAATGTGATCCCTATGCCCAAAGGCATATCTTTATTGATTGCTAATGGTTATTAGGTCTGTGAGATAGTATTAACACTTCACTAAGAGAAGACAACTTTCTTAAATGAGAACTAGCACCTAACTCTAAAACCTGTGTACCTATTGAGTGAGTGAGTGAGGGAAGTCACTCAGTCATGTCCGACTCTTTGCGATACATGGACTGTAGCCTACCAGGCTCCTCCATCCATGGGATTCTCCAGGCAAGAATACTAGAGTGGGTTGCCATTTCCTTCTCCAGGAGATCTTCCCAACCCAGGGATCGAACCCGGGTCTCCCGCATTGCAGGCAGACACTTTACCATCTGAGCCACCAGGGAAGTTTAGCTACAGACAAACACCTCCTCCATGACTAAACATAAACACCCTTGCTGTTTTTGATGTGAAGTTCATCCTCTCTTTCCTATGGCAAGTTTTTTTTTTTTTTCATTTATTAGTTGGAGGCTAATTACTTTACAATATTGTAGTGGTTTTTGTTGTACATTGACATGAATCAGCCATGGATTTACATGTGTTCCCCATCCCGATCCCCCCCTCCCACCTCCCTCTCCACCCGATCCCTCTGGGTCTTCCCAGGGCACCAGGCCCGAGCACTTGTCTCATGCACCCAACCTGGGCTGGTGATCCGTTTCACCCTAGATAATATACATGTTTCGATGCTGTTCTCTTGAAACATCCCACCCTCGCCTTCTCCCACAGAGTTATGGCAAGTTTTGATGACTACAGAAATAGTCTTGAATAAAGACTTCTTTGTCATTTTTAACAAGTGTCTGGTCACAACTTCTCTTTAACACCAGAGACCAAATATTTACCTACTTGTCCTACATAAATTCATCTAATGGAATTTTCATTGTTCCCTACAGAACCTTCAGTTTTTTTCTTTTGCAGTAGGAAGAGTCAAAGAGAGGCATTTCCTGTCCTCATGACTGAAGACTAGGGTTTCTCTAGCATATACGGGAAAAGTCAGGAAGAATACAGGCTACATGATTTTTTTTTATCACCTTTACAGAAGCTATTACTTATTCATTTTGTCACATTGATTTTCAACTGTTCTTGTGGTGACATTTTAATGAATAATACAAAAGCAATGCACAATTCAAAATGACACGCCAAACCTCCTAAACAAAAACACATTCGGTATATAAAAAATGATCATTCCTCCCACATTCTCTGCCATAGAGTCCACCTAATTCACATGCAGTCCACTTCCAACTATGCAGCTGACTTGAGATTATATGATCATACCTGCAACATCAAACTCGATTTCCAGCGTGACCTTGCTTGTGATTGAAGAGTCTCGGAGGAGCTGATTGGCTTCCTCAAACGTGCTGTCTTCAGTTGGAATTCCATTAATGGCCAGTACTCTGTCTCCAATCTGAAGCACCCCACATCTAAATTTAGAACCAGACATTACAGGCTGTAGACAGAGTAAATGATTTTCAAGTTGACATTGCCAAGATCCTTTCAATATAGCATTTGTTCTTTTTATTCAGTGCTGCGGGGCATCCTATTAGGTCAACTGCAATGTCCTACATTCTTTTCTTCTACGTAAAAACATAGTTGATTTACTATACTGTGTTACTTTCAGTTATATAGCAAAGTGATTCAGTTATATGCAAGTCCTACATTCTTGTATTTCATGGCTACCAATGTGAACAAAGGAAAACATCCCAGGGAAGTAATGAATAATTTAGCACCATGATATTATTATAATCCGATGTGAACCAATATACAGTAATGATGAATGTGCATTCCCCCATGGCAGAGAAATTATCATGAAGTTTTGACTTCAGAGATTTTGTTTTTTGTAATGGATTTTTTTCCTTTTTAATTAATTTAGCCTCTAGTCCCCGATGGACAAAAATCTGCTAAAGGCCCCACCCAGGCTCGCTATTTTTCTCAAACCTGATCAAGAACGTAAAATTTTATTGTCAGAACAGAGACTGCATCCCGTCTTGCATTTCCTGCATTGAGCACTGTTCCATAATTTATTAGTCAAAGATAGCCAGCAAGAAATGCAAGGCAGAAAACGATGCCGTGAAAGAAAGGATCTCACCTCTCGGCTGGGCTGTCAGCTTCAATATAGGAAATCAGAGGTGGAGAGGAGAGGGTCTCTGTGGCAAACACACTGCCCTGCAGTTGAATCCCAAATCCTGTGACAGGATCCGCGGTCAGCACAACCTCTGTGGTTTCTGTGTGAACAACCTGCCCAGCCAAGCCCACGGTGCTGGAGGCTAACGACACTAGAGGAAGAAACACACAGCAGAAATGACTTTAAACTGGAACAGGCACCAGGAAGGCCAGCGTTTCTGAAACAGATCATGTCTCTGAAAAAAAAAAAAAAGCTCACTGTTAATGGTGGGACATGAGGTTTTGGTCTTTAAGCAAAAGTTTAACTAGAGCTGAATGAGGTAAATGAATCTCCCAATATCTGTCACATCTAAGTCATAGCATCAGTGTAGCCCCCTCCTCACATGGACCCCTAATATCAAGGACAGCTGTGGCAACTATAGGAAGAGCCTGGTCTTGGGGTCAGGGTACCTGGGATATAGTCCTGGCTCAATCACTAAGAAACCAGCTGGGTGACCTTGGGACTAAGTCATTAATCTCCTTCCTACCTAGGAGAAAGGGGGTTGGGCTAACTGATCTAACTCCCCCCCCCCCCCCTACTTTAGACATTTGTACCTAAGATTCTAGCTTTTTACAAAAAACTTGACCTTCAGCTTTGAAGAAACAATTGATCTAAGTCTGGCTCCTGAGGTGGTAAGGATGTACTGGTCGGTCATCAATGTTCATCTATCATTGGCTTGGCGTGATGGAGTCATTTAAATGACTTTTCTACATTTCCACTTTTCTAATACATGGTCCTATTTCAGCATTGATCAGTTTTTTATATTCCTTCTTGTCTCTTCACTAGACTCTTGAGTTCCTTAAAGATCAAAACCAGATCTTTTCCCCTCTGAAATTCCAGTGCCTGGAATTTCCATGGCTAAAGCCATGTGGGATGAATCCAGTTCTATAACATCACTATTTCCCTTTTTGGAACCAGCCCTTGGTCTGCTGAGTTAAGGAATGAGACGCTGGTCCTTCAGGACCCAAATTTTTCTATCATGGATCATTCCAGCATTCAGGCTGACACTGCAGAGGATGGTGAGATGTATCCTTTTCCCATGAGGAGTAAGGAAAATCTATTTCTTCTTAAGAGGCACTGTCAGTGTTCTTTCCCAGCAGGATTAATGTCACTGAGGCTAAAGTGGCCTGCATTAGGGGGTGAAAGTAGCTTCCAACCCTCACCTTTCTTACCATCCCAAGATCTAACACATAAACTATCAAATGTCAATTCAGATCGTGTTCTCTAGTGTGGCTTTGTTAATATCAACTGTACTCTGAGTACTCTCCAGATCACACATTTTGTTATTGGTGGCACAAAACCAGTAGAAGATACCATTACATGTCAGTAAAAATCTGGAGGGCTGCATTTCTTCCCAGTTAGTACTCATAGCAGGTGGGAATATAATGTTAGAATATCACCCTTGGGCAGATGACCGGCACTCTGTCTTCTGAGTGAAGATTTTTGGACTTCAACAGGTATACTTTACTTTATATGGGACTTTCTATAGGTCCACATTAATATTTTTTCCATTTACCATCCCAATTTGGCATAGATTTTTGGACTACTCAATTGGAGTTAAAAGTCATTTTTGAATTGTTAAGTCAACTGATTACCATTTCCACTAAGAAAGAATCAAGAAGGAATTGGTCAATTTAATAGTAATGGGGGGATTAGTTTAGATATAGCAAAGACTTTCTGAGGGAAAAGACATGCTATATTTTTCTGAAACAGAAGACAGTTGAGGAATTTCATTTTCCAAAAGGTTTTGAAAATAGAAATAAGTATTAATTCCTATGGGTTATCATTAAATCTATAACCTCTACCTGGAGGCAAGCTGAGATGATAGAAATTATGAGGACATTTAATTTAGAATTAAAAATGTATTAAACATTGGTTTTATAATTTTATGAAGAGTACAGGCTTATATTAAATAACCTAGGATTTTACCATTAACTCTCAAAGTCCTCCGGAGAAAGCACTGGCAACCCACTCCAGTGTTCTTGCCTGGAGAATCCCAGGGACGGCGGAGCCTGGTGGGCTGCCGTCTATGGGGTCGCAGAGTCGGACTCGACTGACGCGACTTAGCAGCAGCAGCAGCAGCTGAAAGTCCGCTGAGGTACTAGAATCTGTTCTTTGAAATAGTACACTTTCATTGGAAATTGCATGCACTGATTACTCACACATATTAAAGTCTTGAAAATGACCAACAGAGATAAAGAAGATAAACTACAGATTTAAAGATGATAGGCCAAAAAAACCCAACAACAACAACTAATATTACTTGGAGGAAAAAAAGATGAGTTTGATTATCCTGCTTCACTAATGTGGTCAAAAAGCAGGAGAAAATAAAAATTATCTCTGAGTCATGCCAACATGCTGTGTTTGAACACCGCTAACTGGTGTGTGCCAAGGTTGTGTTCAGGATTTACATCTGCTCTGTCCTCTTCTCCCTCCTTTCTGGAGGCTTCTGCAGGAATTCACCCTGTGTTTTTGTCAATCCTTGTTCTTCCTACAGTAAGGAAGGGCCAAAGTCATGGGAGGCCAGAGATGATTTCTTAGCTCTGAAGTTTAAAAATCTGCCAAATGTTTCCTTAATTTAGACAGCTGTGAAATTTATTGTCAGATACAAAAAGCATTTGAAAAGTATATAGAGAAATGGAGCTCAAAGATTCTTTTTTTTTTTTAAAGGGAAAGCACAAACACAGTCCCCCTACTATCACAAATTATGCAGTGGATTTTCCCTCATTTGGGGAAATTGCAGGGATCAGTGTATGTGGACTACAATGAATAAGCCTCACCCTGGGAAGACCACCTTCGTGATTATGGTATCTCCCCTGCCAGGTAATTATCAAAGATTTATTCATATACTGTGCTTACAATTATTGGACCCTATAACTGAAGACCTATATCTCACTAAAGTGTTCCACACTAGAGTCCACATTGTATATCACACGATCCAGTTCAGGAGAGAGTCGGAGTGGCCAACAGCTCCCTCTTCCAGATAGGGGTAGGGCAGCTCTGAAGCTGACCTCTTCGAGAGCTCTGTGCTCGGTCATTTTAAAAGCTTACCATGAGCTGCCTTTGAATTCCGGTTGCTTTTCAGGGGCTGGTGGCAGGCACAAAAATTGTTAGGTTGTTTCATTCTCTTCCTTTCAGCTCTGTTCAGTGGCACCCTCCCTAGCAGTAAGGGATGACCACAGAAGAGGCAGAGATCATTCTGAGAACATGTTCTAAGGTCTACCCTTCGCTGCAATTCAGGCCGACTGGAAACAGGAAAGCGTCTACACTGGCCCTGTGCACCGGAGCAGGAAGCTGGGGGGAATAGCCAGATCCACTGCTCAGTCATGCCCCGCCATCACAGGGGACGATGGGCTTCTGGGAGGGGCCTTGATCTTCTGTGGCAGAAAAAGGGGCAGCTCATGCTGTGGGGGAAAGGTCAGTGAGAATACGGAAGAGGTGACAAGTGGGTTCCCTCTGTGACATGGCTCTGCCATGCTCCCAGGGCTTTGTGACACTCCCGGAAGCCGATGCTGGGGGTACTTAACATTTTCCTTGTGACACAAACATGACTTTCCTCTTTTAATCCTTGTAACATGCTGTAACAGGCTTCCTGTATTTTCCTCCTTGGTCAATAACAGAGAATGTTTGAATATTTATGTGAGAAAATTTCATTCTTTTCTGGCCATGTCCTTCCTTTGTATTAGAAACATAAGAATTTTTTTTCTGTTTTGCTCTGGCTTCAACTGATCACCAATACAGCTAAGAGATTTTTATTATATTTGTTGTGACTTTACCATGATTCACCATCCATACAAATGGCCTGGTTGCTTTAGGAACATAAGTATTAGAAAAGGGGCAGTAAATGGTCGCACCAAATACAGACATAAATAAAGTGGTGGAAATAAACCATAATATAGTGAGACTGGCAATAAAACTTTTATTATCAGTTATTTGGGAAAACCTTTACCTCTAACGTGACCATGCCAAGTTCAAGCAAAAAATAAAAGAGAAAGAGAAAGAGAAAGAAAACCAAAAGACTAAATCCTCAGTTTTCTTCTAATTTTGGAGAATTAGCATTAGTTGCTTAGGTTTTTCTGAAGTGGGAATAAAAGTTTATAGCTTTCTGAATCTTCTTGTTTGATTAAAATACAAAATGTATGATCTCCTGAGATAAACATAAATTCTGGTAGATATATGGTCAGTGGTGCTCTAGTGGCTAATGTCTACAGCAAATGCTAAAAGCAGATTTCTAGAACCAGGTTTCTGCTTATACTTCTCTATTATGTTGGAGAATAATGTGCTGTTTTAAGAGAGAATTTATCACTAGGTCATGGGTATTGGTGACAGTGTGGCCTTGGCTTTGTTTCCTATGACAAAATTTAAGATGTACAAACATCAACCTGCAATAGCCAAACAGATTATCATTTATTTGTCATCACTAATGTCCTTAATCAAGCTAGCAGTCTTACCTAACACAAACAAATGTTTAGCCATTAAAGCAGAAGTGCAAACATGAACGCATTCATTTTAATTGCTCTTCCCTGCTGAGGGCTGTTAGCCTGCTTTCTCTCAGTAAGCGGTTCTGCACATGAAGCCATTTTATGTAAAAGTTTCATCTACAAATATCCACTACAAATCCTGATTCATTACATGGGAAGATTCAACTTATATATCATGCCTAAGTGGAAACATGGTGAAATATGCCTAAGTCTTGGAGCAGGGTTAATATTTCAAATTTAGGCATCATAATAGCAAACACACAAACTATTCAAAATAGCTAACAATTAAATAGTGCTTACTATTTACTATGTATTATTGCAGCATATATATATATCATATTATATATATTGCATATATATAATTATAATACTTACTTCATTGGGTAATTGTGAATATTATATGAGAATATATCATTATTCATACATACATATGAACATATCAAATATATATGAATATATAGTCTAGAACTTCCAGATGTTCAAGATGGTTTTGGAAAAGGCAGAGGAACCAGGGCTCAAATTCCCAACATCCGCTGGACCATCAAAAAGCAAGAGAGCTCCAGAAAAACATCTATTTCTTATTGACTATGTCAAAGCCTTTGACTGTGTGGATCACAATAAACTGTGGAAAATTCTGAAAGATATGGGAATACCAGACCACCTGACCTGCCTCTTGAGAAACCTGTATGCAGGTCAGGAAGCAACAGTTAGAACTGGACATGGAACAACAGACTGGATCCAAATTGGGAAAGGAGTATGTCAAGGCTGTATATTGTCATTCTGCTTATTTAACTTATATGCAGAGTACATCATGAGAAACGCTGGGCTGGATGAAGCACAAGCTGGAATCAAGATTGTTGAGAGAAATATCAATAACCTCAGATATGCAGATGACACCACCCTTATGGCAGAAAGTGAAGAAGAACTAAAGAGCCTCTTGATGAAAAGTGAAAGAGGAGAGTGAAAAAGTTGACTTAAAGCTCAACATTCAGAAAACTAAGATCATGGCATCCGGTCCCACCATTTCATGGCTAATAGACGGGGAAACAGTGGAAACAGTAGCTGACTTTAATATTTTGGGCTCCAAAATCACTGCAGATGGTGACTGCAGCCATGAAATTCAATGACACTTGCTCCTTGGAAGGAGAGTTATGACCAACCTAGACAGCATATTGAAAAGCAGAGACATTATTTTGCCAACAAAGGTCCATCTAGTGAAGGCTATGGTTATTCCAGTGGTCATGTATGGATGTGAGAGTTGGACTATAATGAAAGCTGAGTGCTGAAGAACTGATGCTTTTGAACTGTGGTATTGGAGAAGACTCTTGAGAGTCTCTTGGACTGCAAGGAGATGCAACCAGTCCATCCTAAAGGAGATCAGTCCTGAGTGTTCATTGGAAAGACTGATGCTGAAGCTGAAACTCCAATACTTTGGCCACCTGATGTGAAGAGCTGACTCATTTGAAAAGACCCTGATGCTGGGAAAGATTGAGGGCAGGAGGAGAAGGGGACGACAGAGGATGAGATGGTTGGATGGCATCACTGACTCAAAGGACATGAGTTTGGGTAAACTCTGGGAGTTGGTGATGGACAGGGAGGCCTGGTGTGCTGTGGTCATGGGGTCATAAAGAGTTGGACACGACTGAGTGTCAGAACTAAACTGAACTAAGAATATAGTCCCTGTCCTAAATGTCTCTTTTGGTGGCAAGAATACATATATATACACACATACATTTTCATATAATCTTCACAATTACCCAATGGGGTAAGTACTATAATTAGCCTCACCTTGTTGCTAAGAAAGCCAAGGTATAGAAAGCTTAAAAATCTTGCTCAAGGTCCTACTGCTACAAAGTAATGACACCGGAATGAGAAGAATCTGGGCTCATCACCAGTTCACTATGCTGCCTTCAACTTGTTTCTTTCAAGAGTAAATAATTTACCCTCTAGTGTTAGCTAAGAAATATCTAGAAGCTCCTTGTTCTCATTTTGACTAAACTCAATCTTCCTTCCATTTACCTATATTAAAGATGACAAATCTTATATTTGAAGGGATATGCACATCAAAACCAGGAATACACCACAGCAGTGGTTAGCCATGGTTTGCTTTTGTAAGGAAACCTTTGAGTTCCTGTAACACGAAGAGACCATTTCCCAGTATGGGTGATGGCCGGTCTCCCACACTACTGGTGGTGCTGGAAGGCCTGGCCACAGACCCACTTCTGAAGATGACTCTCTGGCAAACAAGCTGAAGAGCCAATAGATCCAACCACCTCTCTTTACAAGAATGTTTTCTCTTTAACACCAGTCTTGAAGTACTTGGGTTTGGCTACATTTAGGTAGCTTAAGAGTGTTCCCTACTTTATCTCCATGGTAAACACAAGAAGAGATCCCATCTTCTTTGAGTTGCTTTATGGGAATCACAATCATAGTCACCAGAAAAAAAAAACACAAGAAACACTTACCTCTCTCTACACGGGTTAGATCTGGCTGGAAAACTAGGTGTTCTCTTCCTTTAAAACTTACATGATTATGGTGAGAGATTCTGTTCTGCCCTCCCACTCCCACAAAAGAAAAATTCAGGAGTGGTGTGTTTCTTCCCTTTTTCCCTAAGGCATTCAATCACCCTTTCTTCTTTACATGGACAAGCAGCTATCCAGAAGTAGGCTGCCAACCACATCTTCCTAGTCTTGCCTAGTCTTGCCTAGTCTATAACAGGCTTGGCTGTCCTAGAAGATATAGTTCTAAGAGTCGTAGTTGAAATTCCTAGTCTTTAGGATACCTGTGGGAAAGATAAGCATCCTTTCAATCTTCCTGACACTTGAGTGGGTAACAGATATATGTTAGGGCAATGCTTGTCAGTGAAGCAGGTTCCCTGGGAAAGTATTAGAATCTTCAGGCGTGAAATAAAGATTGAAAAGGCACATTTAAGGGGAATAAGCTATAGTTTGAAAGGCATATTTAAACTTATTACTGTCTTTTTTGCAGGGGTGATTCATGAAATATGAAATTTATAATAATACTATACAAATACATGGGACTCATATTTACCAAAAGGGGATCCAGTTTTCAAAGTGAATAAGTGGACCCAGCTTTAGTCAATAAGAAACAAAGAACAATGGTTTCATGTTCAAAGGTACCCAGGATATAAGGAAGGAGTCTTAAAGAAAAAAATTACATCTTTGATTTTATCAGATCAAAAGAGCAAGAAAAAAAAATTCAAATAAAACGTTGTAGGCAAAGGTAGGACAAACTAACTAACCCAGTCTGAAATTGTATTTGGTGCAACTGTTATGTTGATAAGGGATATCATTTCAATGGTCTTTGGCACAGGGTAGTGAGTTACTTATCTTCTTCCTGTAAAACACTCTTCCTATAGGTTTCCTGACATCCAAGATGCCAATGGACCCACAAGTCTTTTTCAGGCCAAAAGACATTGGTTGACATTTCACTTACGTGAGCTTTTGAAGTCTTTCTTCTTCAGTCTCCTCCTCATCATGGTTCCACGTGGGCTAGTGGAGTAGAGGCTTCGAGGCAAAGTCCCCATGTTCAGGGAACTCAGGCTGTATGCACTCATGGAGGTAGGAGAGAAGGATGAAGACACCAAAGCCGCTGTAAGAGAGTGGAGACTTGGCACAGAGCATTCTCAGGTGGGGTGTGAGCCCGCCACGCCTGTCAACCAGCAACAATCCAGAAAGACACACAAGATACACAGCAATGGCGAGTGGGTAGCTCCAATCAGTCAGAGACCAAGTCTCAGGAGCCATGGAGACAGCGCTTTAGAATCTGTGTTCTAAGAGCCCAGAGCAGCACTGATCCCCATGAGTACAATGCAACACAGAGAGGCTCTATGAGTTTTGCTTTAGCCAAAAAAGAAAACATTAAAGCAAGTTTCTCCATAAACAACTCAATGCTTCAGATACATAATCTCATTTTCATAGACAGCTTCTGGCATGAATTTCACAAGTGGTTCCATATACATAAATAAGATCTGGGAACATTACCTTCTATATAATATTCTGCATTGCTATTTCCTGATCACAGATAAAGCATTCTGAACATTTACATCCTCTCTTAACAACAAATGCTTTCTAATGGGAAAGAGAGACTTAAGAGATGACAGAAGTGAGAAGTTGCTACTACCAAAAAAAAAAAAAAAGAACACCACACCCATGAAACCAGCTATGGTATGAATCCGATGAAGAAGGCATGAGAAGAACATAATTTAAGTAAATGACCAGGAGGAGAAAGCCTGGAACATTACGAGGGCTGTTTGGAGGAGGCGCTTTCATGAATGTCGGGGCCGCTGCTCTGCAATGGTCAGCGTGGTATGAATTACAGTGATGGTAGGTGTGAAGGTTGCAGTGGTTGCTGGCCCAGGAGTCCCAGGGAAGTTGCCTGTCGCTCCTCTGAATTTTCACTGCCCACATGAAGTGATGATGAGAAATAAGAAAAAACAAACAAAGAACCAAAAAAGAGGAGAAAGTAACTGAACTGCACAAATAAAAAGTAACAACAACAAAAAAATGAAGGCTGCTTGCACACAAAAAAAGGGAAAAAACCTGGCTTTGGCCATTTCTCAGTGGTCAGCAAAACCTATGATTAACACCAGGGATGGTAACTTTTCATCTTCCCAAAAATAATGCATGTCTTTCCCCTGCCCATTTTTTTCCTCCTTTTAACATGACTACTGAATCAATTTCTAATCTCCCCCTGTGCCTCACAGCAGAGATTAAAACATTTTTTTTTTTAACTTAAAAGTCAACCCTGCAAGATCTATGGCACAAGATTAGTAATTAGAGATTTGCAAATCTTGGCCAGTAAGTAGCTCTTGTTTTGAGAAAAAGAAAAGAATGAATGATAAATCATACTGGCTCTTGATTCAAAGGATGTACTAGTCACACATCACAATTTACTGCTCTGACATTTTAATTACACTACTATTCATCACTTGAACTACAATAAACTACTCTATCAGGATCTTATCCATACCCTAACAAGAAGATGCAAGACTCAATATACTTTAAAATTTTGGGGGTATTTTTAAAAGCTGTATTTACATTTGAAAGAAGGCATTTAATTATTAAAAATATTTCAAATATTCTTGTATTTCTTTAAGATGTCTGAAATTTTAATAAAGCTAATCCCAAAATTCTGGTGTCCTTTTTATGTTTTAAAAAATGTATATAAAAAAATGTATATCATACTGCCATTCTAATTTCAATATTGTTTAGATTTGATTTTTTACTCAGTGGTCTGAAAGTATGAGCACTTTTGTTTGTTACTATACTGATCTGAAAATTTTCACTTAGCTATCTTAAAGAATGAAAAATAAAATATGAACTTCTCTCTCTGTTGTCATGATTCTAAGGTCAGGTGCCTTACATATGAATGGTTTTGCAGTATTTGTTCATGGAGTGAGGTCAGATACTCTGTAAGTATTTAAAGGAGAGCTCTTTGGGTAAGAGTTTAAATTATACCATCAGTGACATCAGCCTCACTGACCACATCTCAGCCTTTCTGGAATGAGACAGATCATGGAACAAAAGCACTAGCATGAACGGATCACCACCGGCTGAGGCCACGGGCTGAGGCTGTATTTCTGCTCCGGCTCCAACCCATCTTCTCTATCTGACCTTGACCAGTTACTCAACCTCTCTAAGCCACGGTTTCCTCATTATGTCAAGTAGAGATCACAAAATCATCTATCCCAGAGGCCAACTGTTGAGAATATGTACCTAAGGTGCCTAGCACGGTGCTTGCACACAGAATAAAAACTAATGATTCTTTATTTAATAACATTGATACCATCTACTTTCTATCTACTTGCCAATGAATACGTCTTTTCTTTCTTTTAAGGAAATAGGTGTATCTCTCACTCTACAAATTTCATTCACTGGACACAAGTTAAAAGACTGAGAAATCTGCAGCACACTTTCATGACCACCATCATTATGTAGTCCTGAACATATGGCCCTCTGCTTCTAACCACTTCAGTTTCTAGTTTTGCGGTTTATCTCCCTCTCCACTAGTCTACTTTCAAGCTACCAAGCTACCACCTCCTTCACCTCGACCACTGCCAAATCTTCAGACTTGGCTCCCTGGTTCATCTCTTACATACCTATCTTCCAGGATCCATAGTACAGAATAATATTTTAAATACGTAAATTAGATGATGCAACTCCCATTTAAGGTATTTCAATGGGTTACAATTACAAAGAGAATCAAATGTGAGCCCTACTTATCTCTCTAGCTTTACCCCTTCTCACTCTTTCTACTTCTAATATTCTTCTCCTACTTGTTTACATGGCTGGCTCAGGTGCCAAGTCATCCTGACCTCCCTGGATAAAGTAGTTGTCTCTCCTATGTTATCTCATTGCTTTTTTATTAATATATTCTTCATACTTGAAAGGGCTTTATTTAAAATACTTTTAATGCTTGTCTCTCTATACTGGAATGTAAATCCCATGAGAATAGGAATCTACTTTGCTTGCCTTGCTCACTAGATGCACTGTGGCAACTAGAACAGAGCCTGGCATATAATGACTGATGAATGAATGAAAGAGTGAATGAACACATGCATGAATGAATAAGAATATCAGCCAGAGGGTCCATGTACACACTGTTGCAGCATTTTCCTTGTGATAAAGAGTATTTCGAGGCAAGTCTCTTTCGCCATCCTCATTTTACTTTTGGGTGTACCAGAAGACTTTTTAGCAAAATGCAGTCAGTTTTGGATCTGGCTAAGCAACACCCACAGTCACTCTATTGAGCTCTGTAAAGTATCACGTGTTTCAAATGATGTACAGTGAGTAATGGTTAGACAGCATCACCGACTCAATGGACATGAATTTGAGAAAACTCTGAGAGATAGTGGAGAATAGAGGAGCCTTGTATGCTACAGTCCATGGGGTTGCAAACAGCTTGACATGAGTTAGTGACTGAACAACACAGTGTGTGAACTTCAGAATTCTCCACTCATTTTTTGACCCAGTTCTTTATGGAGTGCTGTGAAAATTACTGGGCAGTTTTGAGGGCTGTCAAGCTCAATTAATAACTCAGTAAGGAAGATTCTGACCACCTATTATATGTTTGGCACTGTGACATTTGTGGCAGGTTAAATGTAGCTCATTTAATTCGAGGGATTAGATCTGAAAGACAGAGTGCCTGAAGAACTATGGACAGAGGTTCGTGACATTATATAGGAGGCAATGATCAAGACCATCCCCAAGAAAAAGAAATTCAAAAAGGTAAAATGGTTGTCTGAGGAGGCTTTACAAGTAGCTGAGGAAAGAAAAGAAGCTAAAGGCAAAGGAGAAAAGGAAAGATATACCCATTTGAATGCAGAGTTCCAAAGAATAGCAAGGAGAGATAAGAAAGCCTTCCTCAGTGATCAGTGCAAAGAAATAAAGGATAACAATAGAATGGGAAAGACTAGAGATCTCTTCAAGAAAATTAGAGATACCAAGGGAACATTTCAGGCAAAGATGGGCACAGTAAAGGACAGAAATGGTATGGATCTAACAGAAGCAGAAGATATTAAGAAGAGGTGGCAAGAATATACAGAAAAACTGTACAAAAAAGATCTTCATGACCCAGATAATCGCGATGGTGTGATCACTCACCTAAAGCCAGACATCCTGGAATGTGAAGTCAAGTGGGCCTTAGAAAGCATCACTATGAACAAAGCTAGTGGAGGTGATGGAATTCCAGTTGAGATATTTCAAATCTTAAAAGACAATGCTGTTAAAGTTATGCACTCAATATGACAGCAAATTTGGAAAACTCAGCAGTGGCCAGAGGACTGGAAAAGGTCAGTTTTCATTCCAATCTCAAAGAAAGGCAATGCCAAAGAATGTTCAAACTATTGCACAATTGCATTCATCTCACATGCTAGCAAAGTAATGCTCAAAATCCTCCAAGCCACACTTCAACAGTACGTGAACCGTGAACTTCCAGATGTTCAAGCTGGATTTAGAAAAGGCAGAGGAACCAGAGATCAAATTGCCAACATCTGTTGGATCAATGAAAAAGCAAGAAAGTTCCAGAAAAATATCTACTTTTGCTTTATTGACTATGCCAAAGCCTTTGACTGTGTGGATCACAACACACTGTTGAAAATTCTTTAAGAGATGGGAATACCGGACACTTGACCTGCCTCTTGATAAATCTGTATGCAGGTCAGGAAGCAACAGTTAGAACTGGACATGGAACAACAGACCGGTTCCAAATCAGAAAAGAAGTACATCAAGGCTGTATATTGTCACCCTGCTTGTTTAACTTAAATGCAGAGTACATCATGCTAAATGCCAGACTAGATGAAGCACAAGCTGGAATCAAGACTGACGGGAGAAATATAGATAACCTCAGATATGCAGACCACACCACCCTTATGGCAGAAAGTGAGGAAGAACCAAAGAGCCTCTTGATGAAAGTGAAAGAGGAGAGTGAAAAAGTTGGCTTAAAGCTCAACATTCAGAAAACTAAGATCATGGCATCCAGCCCCATCACTTCATGGCAAATAGATATGGAAACAATGAAAACAGTGAGAGACTTTATACTTTTTGGCTCCAAAATCACTGCAGATGGTGACTGCAGCCATGAAGTTTAAAGATGCTTGCTCCTTGGAAGAAAAGCTATGACTAACCTACATAGCATATTAAAAAGCAGAAACATTACTCTGCCAACCAAAGTTCATCTAGTGAAAATTATGGTTTTTCCAGTAGTCATGCATAGATGTGAGAGTTGGACTATAATGAAAGCTGAGTGCCAAAGAATTAATGCTTTTGAACTGTGGTGTTGGAGAAGACTCTTGAGAGTCCCTTGGACTGCAAGGAGATCAAACCAGTCCATCCTAAAGGAAATCAGTCCTGAATATTCCTTGGCAGGACTGATGGTGAAGCTGAAACTCCAGTACTCTGGCTACCTGATGTGAAAAACTGACTCATTTGAAAAGACCCTGATGCTGGGAAAGACTGAGGGCAGGAGAAGGGGACGACAGAGGATGAGACGGTTGGATGGCATCACCGACAGAGGATGAGAGGGTTGGATGGCATCACCGAAAGAGGATGAGATGGTTGGATGTCATCACCGAAAGAGGATGAGATGGTTGGATGGCATCACCGACAGAGGATGGGATGGTTGGACAGCATCACTGACAGAGGATGAGAGGGTTGGGTGGCATCACCGACCTGATGGACATGAGTTTGAATGAGCTCTGGGAGTTGGTGAGGGACAGGTAAGCCTGGCATGCTGCAGTCCATGGGGTCGCAAAGAGTCAGACACGACTGAGCAACTGAACTGACCAGAACTGAAATGTAGGTCATAATATTTACTTTGACTTGAACTATTATTGGGGACTAAATCTTCATATACATAAAATAATTAAGAGACAAAAATTATATAAGATAATGCACAAAATTGCCTGCCATGTGTAATGAATTTAAAAGGCGTTCAACAAACGATGTAGGCCAGATAGCGGTAGCCTATTTTGAACGTGCACTCTGAATCTATTCTGTTTTATGGTGATGTACTTTATACTCATATGTTAGGCAAGGATTTCAGTTTAGAAATAAGATGTCACATTTTTGATGCTCTTTCATTTTGAAAAAAAAAATTTTATTTACATTCTCCCACTCAATGGTCCCCATAATACTAATAACAGTCAACTTTCACTGAGTCCTCACTATATACCAGGCACTGTGCTAAGTACTTTTACATGGATTATCTCAGAAAATACTCATAATACATCTATGAGGTATGAATTATAATAACACCCATTTTACAGATGAAGAAACTGAGGTATAGAAAAGTTGAGTAACTTGCTAAGCTCCCAATGGTGGAGCCAGAATTAAAGTTCTGAGAGTCTGACTCTGAGTCCCTGCCCTCAGCCACCACACTACACTTGCCTCTTCTTCTGTCTGTTCCTAAGTCCTTTGTACAGATAAATAAACAGTACGGAAAATAGAATGTTTTTTCTATCATCGCATGCTGACATTGCTATTGAAATCTGACATGGGAGGTACTTTCGTTCTCTTCTCTAATTGTACCCTCTTATCTAGTTCAGGAGTTCAAAGGTAAAGGCGATAGGTATGCTGTTGGTTGCTTAGAGATCATAGTTCTCCTGGTACTGAATTATAGACCCTTAAGACTTGGCTCACATTTTCTTTTCCAAAGTCTTTTCCAAAGTTTCCTCCAAGCAAGACTATGTCTCCCAAAGACCCTCAGAGGCACACTTTCTGACCTCTTTAAAAACTCATTCTTATGGCTTTTTGAATGCTGCTATTTCCCAGCGAAACGCAGAGCAAATCTATTCCGGATTGATGTGTCCATTTCTATATTTCCCTGAAAATACTATGGTGAATGCTTTCTTGCTCAGCAAAATCTGTGAAATGTTTTATTTCCATCTACCCAGGGGATGAGAGACATGCTGTTTAAGCACCAGAAATCTTGAAGAAAAAAAAAAAAACAACAACTAGAACTTTCTTATGGAAAAAGGTAAAACTATATAACAATTCTACTACATCTCAAAACAGAAGTTTGAGAATCATAAACATTATAACAAGTTTGGGGTATATTTTCTCTTCTTAATTGGGATTTAATTATGTTTAAGACCCATTATTTATTTCCTTTTGGAAATACAAGTCTGATTTTAATGTAAAATGTAGGGAGATACTTGCATGTTAGATAAAGAAGATGGTGAACAAATTAACAATAGTGGATGACAGGCTCAGAAGCAAGAGTTAGAATTACTAAAATTACCAGCCCTTCACCCCCCTGCAAAATCACAAATGACATCAGCTTTTCCACAGTGAAGAAAAAAAAAGTTAGTTCTTGGTCTCCATCCCCTTTATATATAAATTCATCTTCTCAGACTGTCTTGTTAGATAAAAACATTTAATATTTCATGAGTGGAAACTATTTGAACTATGATTTGTTCACATGGCAAATAAAAGGCAGGGGAAATGAGGTTGCTAAAGACAATGACATTTTTATAGGGTCTGTTTACGTTTCTGATTCTGATACTAGAATTTACCAAGCAAAATCTTAGGCTGAAAAAGCACTAGGCAGTGTGTAGTGTGATGCCTGCTGGGCTTCAAATCCAGTGGCACCTTCAGATGAATTTAGAAGAAACTTAACAGCTTTAGAAATCTCCCTTCTCCGTCAGTGAGCAGGAAAGGCCCGCACATCCTCCCGACAGGAACGGACCAGTCCCATGAACCGTACCCCCTTATCATTTCCATTCAAACGAGGCAGAATTTCATAACCTGCCTAGGCGGCCTCATTTCTCCAACTCCAAAGTATAAAATTAAAATCTGATAAAGGGAATGCTGTACTGGAGATTTTCATTAGCTCCAGAGCTGTCTAAGCTCCATTTAATTAAAAAAGGTTGCATCCAGCTGACTCATTCGGTATGAAAATTATTTTGTGCCTCTTTTTTTTCAAACTGTGGAAAAGTGCAGTGTGTTTTAGAAGGTTGGAGACACAGGAAACAAACAACCTCCTCAGAAGCAAAATTTTGGTCCCGGAGAAAATTCTTCTTTCTCTCTACACATAAAGAAATGTGTTCCTCACCTCTAGGGAGCCTGATAGTACTGCTGGGGCTTTAGAAGTTGGTTTCAAGGAATAAAAAAGGGAGAGTGCTTGATTTAAGGAAGAGGAGCAAGGGAGAGGTTAGAACAAAGACCCCACTGGAGAGTCGTTCTTCATTTGATTTTGGGCTCAAAGTCCTTTTTCTTGCACTGGGTTTTATTTAAGGATGCCTATGTGGGACAGTGCATAAACACTCAGCAGAAGATCTGTAAGCGTCAAGACAGTGAAAATTCAGATTCCCTCGGGTGAAACTTGTTACTGCACAATCCTAGTCAAATATTCTGACACTCCTAGGAGAAATATTTGGTCGGAAGTTTGTTCTCCATCCTAAGGAAAAAAACTACTCTGAAAAACAGACAAAATCTCTCATGAAACTGTTTTCCCCCTGAAATATCTGAAGGATCTGGCATAAATGCCCATTTCGTAACTATTTTAAAACAGTGGGAGTTTTAGTATTTGCCTTTACTGCCCTCTAAGCAGAGTAGAAATTCAATGCAAATCACAGGAAGTCAAATTATTTCCTTTCTTTCCACAGTCAATTTGTACCAAAGGCTTAAAAAAACAAACAAACAGTACAAACATGAAAATTCTATCTCAAATAGTGTTTCCTCAATTTGGGGGTTTCAGGTAAAACACCTGTGGCTTGGTCAAAGGGATTGGGAAGATGAAGAGGTATAAACAAAGACCGCCTGTTGTTTGAAAAGAAATGATAGAGGCAGAATTAAACTTGGCCTCTCTGCTTTTTAACTCTGCTGGAGAAGCAGTCATTGCAAGGGGAAGACAACAGAGGTTTATCTGGAAGGATCCTCTCACCGTGGTCAGGTCCCTTCAGGGCCAGGCGGGTCTGATGATGCGGAAGAATCTCAAGCTTGACCTGGTCGGTGGTGTTGGCCAGGAATTGGGTTGCTTCTGCGAGCGTGCAGTACTCCATGCTGGTGCCGTCTATGGACAGGATGTGATCACCCACGTGCAGAGCACCACACCTACGAAAGGGAGAAGGTGATGGCGCGCCTTCCTCTTTGCATTATGACTTTCACGTCCTCACACTTAAAGCTTCACACAGTTTTCATTTACTTAAGGGAAGAAGGAAACACTTCAACGTCATAGGAAACACTACCTGTCAAATATTAACTAGCTTGGGTATGAAGAGGAAGGTAAAACCTTGTAGAAAATACAGAAAAACTCAAGGAAGAGTTTTTCCTTGTCCTTTATAAAAATATATTATTTTGGGGCTGGCAGTGCTGAAAGTTGAGAGGAAGTGAGCAAGCGAGGAGGGAAGAATAGGAAAATGTTTTGACTTTTTTTCTGTGATTTTTTCCCCCTGAGTTTTTATATCTATAAATATGAGTTGGTAAATATTCAGAATGTAAAGATGGGACTCGCAGAATGGGAATTGGGTCACTTACAACTATTTTCTTGGGAGAATAACTTGGGAGAAGGATTCAGCTAGTGCTTGCTCGGAATCATCTCACACATGCTCCCAGATCACCAGTTCTTGATTATTTTGTTATTCTGGAGATAAACATTTATGAGCACAAAAGCTCTCAATGATGATAGAAATGAGGCAGGCGTCAAAGAGTAATCAAAGGAAGCCTCTGTGAGGGGGAAGCTGGGGGGGAGGAGGGGTGGGCTGCTATATCTTGCTGAACTCAAGAGACTGGGTGAGTTGAGAACAGCACACACAGCCGTCAGCATCTCGAGGTGCCAGTCAAGTGGACAGCTGCTTAAACTGCTTACCCTCTGCCACAGGAGAGAAACAGGGAGAACATGAGAGCTTCCTGCACCACTCAACGGGAGGGCATCCCTGAATCCATTACATCACTGTTAAAGGCCTGAATGCAGCTAAGAGCGCAGTGGAGCTATAGACTGACCACCACAGGGGTAGCTGCAGGCCATCAGAGTCAGAAGGTCGCCAGGAAGGGAGAAGAGGGTTGGAGAGACGCAGGGAGACAGGGCATTGGGGCAGATCTAAACACTTGCACAATGACCACAGTCTACTGCTCAAGACAAAAGCATTTCAAGTCATCCCTCCCATCTAAAATTAAAATTCCACTTGGGTGCACCTGGAGTGCTTCAGCTATGGGAGGTGGGGGTTTTCTTACCAGGAGCAGTTAAATAATTTATTAGGTGGTAAGGTAGTCTTCCCCCCCTGCCCCATTCGTAAATCTATCAGAAGAAGAATTCGGAATAAAAGACTGGCATTTTTATAAAGAACGATGTTTTGGGGGACCCTTGAATATAGTGAAACTCTAAGATTAACATAACGACAGTGGAGGGCCTTTCTTTAAAGACTGTATCATGTTTAAAATGTTGTTTTACTTCCTGAATAAAAAAGGAATAAGATTGTATGGTGGCAGGATTTAATCGTTCACAATTCAAGAAACCACATGACTCCTCTGCATGGAGCATAATAAAGATCTGCTTAGCTACCCTCAACCAAAAATGGGCTATTACTCTAGGACACAGTAGGTGAATGTACATAGTTGCTTGACTTTTTCTTATTTCTAAAGGCCACACCAAACATTTGGATGAAGCAAGATTACTTCATGGGGTAGCTGATAAGGAAGGTAAAATTTTAAGCTCTAGAATACTAACTTGTTTTGTATATGAAGCTTGTATAAACTGGCAGAAGAGCTGTTTTGTTTTACCTGTGTGTGCATGTGTGTAGGTACTACATATGTGTGTATACATATATGAATATATCTCTACACAGTTTAACACGCATGCCATTTGGAAAAGTAGGCCCTTTCTATGACACTCACCTGTCAGCAATACTTGCAGATTTGATTTTGTCTATGACAATAACCTGTTTGTTACAGCACATCGAGGTAGTTAGGGCCACCCCAAGGCTGGCACCTGGAGTTTTGGCAACTTCAACTAGTAGTGGTCCGGATGCTGTTGCCACAGAATCTATGGAAGAAAATTTCAGAAAACAAAACAGAAAATAAGCAAACCGACACAGAAAAAAGGCGGAGAAGGTTCAGTCTGGTGTTGATCTGTTAATGTTATTGTCAAAACTTTAGTTTTCCTTCCATTTAACATCTCCACCTCCAGTGAGTGGTCACTCCTTAGAGCATCTTTTAGGATGCCTGTTCTATCCAGCTTGTATTACAGTAATATGTGATGGGTTTACCTTTTCAATTAAAATTTAAGCTTCACATCAGTTGGGATAATGTCTTATGTTTCTTTATGCCTTCTACATTACTTGATATGTGTGTGCATGCTAAATCGCTTGATACAGTGCCTGGCAAATACTGGGTCTCTGAAGAATAGGGTTTAAAAGTTAATTAACTCAATAAACATCTTAGAACCTTCTATGGATGGATGGATAGATGAATGGATGGATGGGTGGGAAGGAAGGGAGAATAGACAGTGTCTCTAAGTAGGCAAGTAGCAGGCAAGAAGTATGCTTCCCAAGCGGCGCAGTGGTAAAGTCTGCCTGTCAATGCAGGAGACACAAGAGATGCAGATTTGACCCCTGGGTGGGAAGATCTCCTGGAGTAGGAAATGGCAAACTGCTCCAGTATTCTTGTCTGGAAAATTCCATGGACAGAGGAGCTTGGCAGGCTATAGTCCATGGGGCTGCGAAGAGTCGGACACAACTGAGCGACTGGGCTCACATGCACAAAGGAAGGCACACACCAAGTTAAAGGCGTGAATCCTTCGCGTTTTCCCTATTTGAGATCTGACACAGGGCCATCTCTCCCTCAGGTGCATCTTCACACATGCTTTATTTTTAGCTTGGAACTCTCTTCATTCCTTCAACTGGTACTCACCCTTGCGGGTATAAACTTCAATTCCTCTGGGAAGCCTCTCCTGACTTATGATCTGGTGAGAACCTTTCCTCCTATCTTCCTGCTTTGTTGCACACACCTCATTCTTTCTTAATGACTAGTGTGGACGACACTCCTCTGATCTCTGCCAGACAGCAGCTTGCTGTAAGGACAGAGCCTGTGTCCTGTCCATCACAGCATCCTCGGGGCCTGGCATAGAGACTTGTGCATAAATAGTTGTTGAATGAATGTATGGATAAATGAGACAATGCGTGATGCTATTTAAAGCTCAGAAGAGGAAGAGATCATATGGGAAAGAGCCTTGGATGTAGATTTATAACACCTGTACTTCTTTTCACAATATTTTGGTCATGGTAACATAGACCAGTTATGAAAACTAAGTCTGCTTGTTTACCTAGAAAGTGTTATCTTTACCTCAGTGTTTACTACAATGAGAATCAGTGTATAGTTAAAGCGTTTTACAAAGTGCTATACACATAGAATATTATTGCATACTATGACCTCGAGCCTTTGAATCATTTCATTTTTTAAGACTGTATATTTTCAGTAGTGTTTTTATGACTTTACACTACTCTGGTGTTTGGTACTAATATAACTTGGTCTTCCTTGAAAGTATATCTTCATATCAATAAGCCAGCACTCAGATATGATGAACTAGCTTCCTATAGTGAAGCTCAGACAGTATGTGCTGACTCTGGAAGCTGAAAGACCCCTGGGACCGAGTCATCTCCAGTCCCAGATGAAGCAAGATATTTGTTAAATAAGGTAAAGATGAAAACAGTCATGCCAACCACATTCATACTCCAGGCCTAAGGATTCTTGTATGCACTGTGTTTCTTAAATATCTAGTCCTAGAAAAAGTTAAGAGATCATTAGGGCCTGTATTTCTTCCTGTCAATTCCAGGGGAGAGTCTCACTAACAACAGCTGGGAGGAGCCAAGGGTCTTGGTCCAGTCAGAAGACTGTGACTCTGAGGTGAGCTGGCTGTAATTTTCCCATGAATCTAACTCTGTGGTGGTGGCTACTCTCTGGTTCTGCTCACCCTGCCGTGCTGACAGCCTGACCTCGGGCCACTGACAACATCTGGCTTCTCTTCTTCTCCCTTGTTTCCCAGTTCTCTCACCTTGGAGTTTATAGACAGCAGTCCCCAGGCCTATCTGAAACAGCAGTTTGCACCGCTCCTGCCTCACTGGGACCTCCTAGTAAAGAATTCAGCTCAGTCCTTATCGCCCCTGTTTGAGTTATCCTTCCATCATGAGTACAGGCGATTCTTCCTCCTTCTCAGCTCTAATAGTCAAAGTTCTATCGCTAAAACAAATGCACATACTCTGATGCCTGTAGCTCCACCCCCAGGTCTGTTGTCCTTCTCTTCTTGGAGTTTGCTCCCTTGCAACGTCTCTTCCTGTTCAGGTTGAACCTCACATGAGCTCTGGCCTAGTGGAGTCTTTTCTCACATTATCTTTACAGAACTTTCAGTTCAGCTCAGTCCAGTCGCTCAGTCGTGTCCGACTCTTTGCGACCCCATGAATCGCAGCACGCCAGGCCTCCCTGTCCATCACCAAATCCCAGAGTTTACTCAACTCATGCCCATTGAGTCGGTGATGCCATCCAGCCATCTCATCCTCTGTCGCCCCCTTCTCCTCCTGCCCTCAATCCCTCCCAGCATCAGGGTCTTTTCCAATGAGTCAACTGTGCGCATGAGGTGGCCAAAGTACTGGAGTTTAAGCTTCAGCATCAGTTCTTCCAATGAACACCCAGGACTGAGCTCCTTTAGGATGGACTTTAGGAGGACTAATTTTAGAAGGACAGATATCCCAAAGACTTGATGGATTTTAACAGATAGGTTTGTGAAGAGACAATCACTTATATTCTTCCACATGCTTTTCTGTCTAAATATAAATTCATGGGGATTCCCAGATGAAAGTAACAAACTTTTCTGTTACTTATAACCTAACCTCTAACAAATGACAGAAACTGAGAACTGTTTCTTGGTGTCCCATTTTTCCTTCTTTCTTAGTGATAAGCTTTCTAAGTTTTAGCTGATTGGATGGCTGCCCAGCTAAGGACAACATTTCCCAGCCTCCTTTCTGGTGAGATGCAGCCATGTGACAAAGTTCCAGCCAATAGGAAGTGAGCAGAAGTGAGACATGATACATTCTTAAAAAGAACAGTGGTGCCCTCCTCTGTCTCATTTCCCCCTTCTTGACGTTGCACTGTGGGCCCAGAACTGGTGACCATCTCCCACCATCAGATGTGGGCGTGGTACCACCAGGGAGAGGACCTTAGATTCCTGAGACCATATCTCCAGAGACTGTTTATTCTCCTGAGAGATAAACTATCACAGTTAAGCTAGTAGGGTAAGTGTGAATTGCTGTTGCCAGCTGAATGTTTATACTGACAGGCCTTTTCACTTGAGTCTATCCCCCCAAAAATACCTTTCTTGAATTTTTATTCTTAGAAGCAGCTATTAATAGCTATTTGCAGACGTAAATTTTATAAAGCCACAATCAACCGTGACCCAGGACACACACTAGGTTTTCACTTTTCTTAAAAGTATTACATCAGGATTAAAGATCAGAGTTTGTAAAGAGGTTATCAGCAGAGGTAAAAAGTTATTTAAATATAAACTATTACAGTGCTATTCTTCTTTCCTGGCCTATATGTCAAGGTGTTAAAAATTATATTTTTGTAAGGTTCTAATGTTCCAGTTACAGTGAAGAATTAATATAAATTTTTTTCTTGTAGGAAGAAACAATAGGAATGGGAATATTACGAAACATAGAAAAAGGGTATCATATTTTCTGCTATTATTAATTTAGAGGGGGAGAGAGACTGTACTCAGAGCTGTTCTGGTGTACCTCTGGAATGGAAACTCTTAATAGAAAAGCAGTCTCTCTTTAAGTAGTATTTGCCCCATTAAGGCTTTGAAGGAACAACAAATGAAATATTTCTACTTAGGGGAGCCTAATGTGCAAGGAATGATTTTTTTTTAAATTTAAAATGGAAAGCTTTAGAACTTTGAAAAGAGAACCATAAACTCATGGTTAAAGGAAGAAGCAGTATGATTCTAAGCTGGGTTCAGGTCTGGAGGCCTGGAGGTGTGGTCCTAGTTATGCCACCAACTTACCATGTGGCCCAAGCCATCATCTCCCCTGGACCTAATTTTCTTCTGTAAAATTAGGGGACTTCAGTAAAAGCTCCCTAATCCTGATAATCTATGTCTCTTCAGAGAAATAGCAATGTTAGATAAGGAATAGCCTACTAGGAATCAGAAAATTAGAGAAACTTAATAAACTTTATGAAAATATACAATAGCTGAATTTAAATTTCAGTATCCTACTAATGAGACTTCCCAGGTAGTGCTAGTGGTAACGAACCTGTCTGCCAATGCAGGAGATGCAGGTGACGCAGGTTCGATCCCTGCTTCAGGAAGATCCCCTGGAGGAGGGCATGGCAATTCACTCCAGTATTCTTGCCTGGAGAATCCCATGGACAGGGAAGCCTGGCAGGCTACTTGTCCATAGGGTCACTAAGAGTTGGACATGACTGAAAAGACTTAGCACAACACATCCTACTAATGGGTAGAAGAAGGGAGCTACAAGATATGAAAGTGATTCTAGATAATTATTGTTTATCAAGATGCGATGCAAAATCTCAGACCCTTAAATATTTTGATGACAATGGTAACATCCTTTAAAGACTGAGTTTGAGGGATTGTCCCTCATCACAGAGTATGAAGGACTTCTTAGGGCACAACTTTTAATTTTCTATCAAAACTGTGTCATATTGAGCTCTTAATTTAAGCAGGAAAAAAAATGATGAGGGAAAGAAGGTGCTTATCTTATGTAAAGATGATCATAGATTGTTGATAACAGTTTATGGAATATGAGCTCAGCCCTCTGGTCTCTCTCTTTAGCAGCCCAGAGTTTTATTTCACCATGATCACTCTCAAATTCGTGTGGCCAGCACACATTCAGGGTTTCTTTGTGGCTCAGCTAGTAAAGAATCTGTCTGCAGTGCGGGAGACCTCGGTTTGATCCCTGGGTTGGGAAGATCCCCTGGAAAAGCGAAAGGCTACTCACTCCAGTATTCTGGCCTGGAGAATTCCATGGACTG